GCCTTTGAAGCAGAAGTTTCTTTTCTATACGAAAAAACCTTGAATTTTAACCTGGGGCAGGGTAGTTTTTAGTTAATCTGACTGAGTGTTCAAAATTCATAAGGAAGATGTTTTTTGAAGAGAAACTACGAGGGCTATCCTTCATGTATAATGAATCTAGAGGATGTGGAACCACAATGTTATCCCTCATTCATCAAGAAACGAGGCAATCACAATCCTCTCAACCAGCAAAGACAAGCTAATGTCACACATTTTGTTCAAAAAGTCAAAAATCAAGAAAAAGAAAAGCCTGCTAAGTCAAAAAAAAAACATAAAAACGTGTGACTTAGGTAAAATGAAGGCATCCCGCTGGACTATCAATTCAAAAGAATTAGTTCAGGCAAAAGTTAGGGAAAATAAAATTGCAAAGAAAAGGACTGCAAAGAAAAGTCCTCAACAAAGAACAAATTGGTGACTACAGACACGAAGACATGAGGGCGGTTTCTACTCCGAAAGCCTCGTTGTTTCCTTGACCGTCACAAAATCCTTTTGAGAGATGAACACTCATGTTGAATTAACTAAACATAGGGTTGGAGAATATCATGAAGAATGGGTGGGCACCAAATATTTTGAGCCTTAAAATCTTTTTTCTAAAAACCATGAACCAGACCACGTTACAACCTTCAAAAGTCCTAATTGAAGCAAGGTTATGTTGAAAGCATACTTCAATGAGATAATGTTCCTGACTCCCATGAATGTTCTAAATAGTTATGTTGGTATCATATGTTTTTCCTATACAAAAATAAATGGTGCTTTAACTCGCAAAATTTGTGCGATATCTTTCAAAATCTCCAAGACTTACATAACTGTTGCATTAGAATTTTCATTCTCATTGTAAACTCTTTCTAACTGCAAAACATTTGTTTGATATCGAGGAAGCTCACATAAGCACCAGTGATGAGTTTATTCTTTTAAGGCCGGAAACTATGTTGAGTAATTGACGAATCATTTCAAGAAAAAATCATATCCAGGGGCATGTCACCTTAAGACCTTAAGCATGGACATGTTGATTCTCCCAGTTAATGCTTTCCCAACTTCTTTACTCTTTATTGGGGCAAAATTTGAAGACTTTATTGTGCCAACTACAGTCAATCCGGGGCAATCACGTCGAGATTCGATGAATCTCTCTAAGAGTTTGAAGACACCAGAGCATGGTGAATGCCAGGTCTTTTCTAAAATCCTCTTGAGACGATTTCTCCTCATCAACCATATAGCTCGGGGCATTTTAGAAGTGAAGTTATTCGCAAGAATTGTCGTGCATCACGCAGCTTATCAGCAGTAAACTTGGGGCATCCAAAATTAATCCCAGGGGCAATCCAGATTTGTCAAGATATGTTTTTCATACATTATCAGAGGGTGGTGTTCCCAGTATCTCCAGTTAAGCATGACTTTTTTCCAGCTGAATCATTGTTCGTGTTGTTATCCTTTCAATGGATTGTCGACAATAGAAGACTGGACTTTGGGTTTTCTACCTGAAAATATCTTCCTCTCCGGAGATATTTAAGCCTTGTAAAAGGACCTTGCTCCAATGATGGCTTTTGTTTTTATCTCCAGTAATGTTACCATCCTGTTGAGATTAGCCGAGTGTTGGGTTGTGCTATGATGTCTTATCATCTCCAGTTTATCTTGTCTATTTGTTTTGTCAGCACATACATGGCATTCATTTATTCATTCACACTTGCATCATGCATGCACAGTTGTATTTGTTGATATCTTTGAGTTCATATACCTTGGTTATGTCTATTCAAATAGCGTATTTGATCTTTCCAAATAGAGTGTCAACTTAAGCAAAAAGTGCGCCTCTTTTTCTAATTCCCCACTGAGTTAACTCTCATGGAAGAATCTTGCTTTAGCTTTCCTTTTTCCATCCCTGGATAGGATAAATCCCCATTTGAGTTGTTTTCTCATTGGGTGGAGTCTTGTTTGACTATTTTCTCTCCAGTTTATTCCTGGATTGAGCTTTGTCTCTTGTGAACGATACCTTGTGGATCTCTCTAGGCTGTGAAACCTAGATGGAAAGTGCATTTATTTTGCAATGTAAATACTTGGTCTCCTCAAGAAGGATTTACTCATGGTTCCCCATTGAAGATGAACTTTATTCCCCAGCAGTGTTATCACAACCTTCTTCTGGAATATCGACATGACAACAAGCGACTGACTCTTTATTTGAGCCGTTTGATTATTTCTGATTTCTCTACGACAAATGGCGGTCTCTTCATGAGCAGTTTGTCCATCCTCGATGAAATTATTGATTCTCACCTCCAGCAATATCTTCATGATATTTTATGGGTATCTTTTTGAAAACATCAAGCGGCAGTCTCTTCATGGACAACTTGTATGTTATTGATACCTTGGAAAAAACATCAAGCGGCGGTCTCTTCATGAGCAACTTGTATGTTATTGATACCTTGGAAAAAACATCAAGCGGTGGTCTCTTCATGAGCAACTTGTATGTTATTGATACCTTGGAAAAAACATCAAGCGGCGGTCTCTTCATGAGCAACTTGTATGTTATTGATACCTTGGAAAAAACATCAAGCGGCGGTCTCTTCATGAGCAACTTGTATGTTATTGATACCTTGGAAAAAACATCAAGCGGCGGTCTCTTCATAAGCAACTTGTATGTTATTGATACCTTGGAAAAAATAGCAAGCGGCGGTCTCTTCATGAGCAACTTGTGTGTTATGGATACTCTTGACAAACAGCAAGCGGCAGTCTCTTCATGGACAACTTGTATGTTATCGACACTTCTAAAAACATCAAGCGGAAGTCTCTTCATGGACAACTTGTATGTTATCAACACTTTTTGAAAATGGCAAGTGGCAGCTTCTTCATGAGCAGCTTGTACGTTAGTATTTTTGGAAGACAGCAAGTGGCAGCTTCTTTATGAGCAGCTTGTGAATTTTTGGCAACAAGTGGCGGACTCTTCATGAGCAGCTTGTGTGCTTTAATATTCTTTGAAGACAGCAAGTGGCGGTCTCTTCATGAGCAGCTTGTATGTTATTGACACCTTTGAAAGGAAGCAAGTGGCGGTCTCTTTATTCGAGCAGCTTGTGTATCCCCAACAATAATGTCTACTCAGCAAATGGCATCCCTTTCAGAAAAGTCCCGTGGGGAAGTTTGTTATTTTATCCTTCTCAAGCGACATCTTGGTTAGAGAAGAAATGTGTTACCGTTCTTGGTGAAATTCAGAAGTCAGAGATGTTTATTTCCAGTCTCGGTACTGATGCCAATCATTTTTCAGTCACAGTGCTGATGTCAATCATTTCCCTTCTCTAGTCTCAGTACTGATGTAAATCATTCTCTTTTCCAGTCTCAATACTGATGTAAATCATTCATTTCTTCCCTCAAAGTTATTCTTTAATAAGAGTCTCTCATTTGAAGTCTATGACTTTGTTTCCCCAGTGGAGTTATAATCTCTTCCCCAGTGGGATTACTGTATAATGTGCTTGGTTTCTCCAGCAGTAGTTTGCCTCATACGGAATCCTTCCTCATTAAATTCAAAATGTTACATTCATATAAGATCATAAACATAATTGCGGTACCTTATTGCCAAAAATTGTGTATTCTATATTTAAGTCCCTTCGATCTCGTCGAAATGAAGATTCCAATCTTCATATCTCCGGATAGAAGAAACTTAAATAGGGGCATCTGTCATACCCTAATTTGTGACCTAAGATCCCGCATTCCATCCGCATCATTGCATGGCAAGAGTTCACAAGCAATTCGACCTATTTTTGCCAATTCCCGAGTCAGATTTCAAAAATTCATAACTTCTTCAAATTTCAATATTTTGAGGGGTTATTTTTTGCATATGATTTTTCTTGACACCATCTACAATTTTTCTTTACAAGACAAGAGATGAGTATGCATTGAAAATTCACGAAAAAGTTATTAACGTTCGAAGTTGTTTCACGAATTTAATGGAATTTCATTCTTAATTTTGGACTATGTTTTATCCGACCATAAATTTTACACTTTCTCTTCTTTTATTTTTAATTCCATGAAAAAATCCTAAAAAAATATTTAGTTCGTGTCATCTTAATTTTCTTTACATTATTATTCAAAATATCAAAAAAAGTAGTCTCTTCAAGTTTCATTTAGATTTTTATTCTTAAGTCAAAATTATAGTCTTCTAGATTTAATTTAGTAAAAATCTCAACAAAAAAAAACATGTCTTAGCATTATTTTATTTTTAGCATTTCACTTTAATCACAAAAAATATATAGTTAATATCTTTTCCTTTTAATTCTTTTAGTTATTATAATTTTCATTTTCTTTCTTTCAATATTAATCTTGATTTGGTTCTAATTGTAATTCAACTTTTTAGTTGAGTTATTATTAAAATTAAAATTAATTTTAATTTCTCTTTAATTTTCATGTTTTGGAAATTTTTAGTTTAATATTTTTTATTTTTATTTTTTGTTATTATTATTGTTATTATTATTATTATGCTATTCCTCTCCTTGTAAAAAATGTCCAAACAATAAAATCAGTCCAAAACTTTGCTATTGTCCCTATCCTAACTGTCCATAAAATCCAAACATGCTACACAACAAAACTTGCATAATGCTCCAAGCATATCAGTCCTCCAAAATAGTTTAAAAATATGTTAAAAAGCCAAATGCTACTGCTACCCACAACACTCCAAAATTTGTCCAAAAGCAGTTCGAATTACATTAAAATGGCAATACAAATCTGCAGCAAAAAGGTGTTAAAACAATGCATCACAAAGAATCCAAATCCATCTCATTTCCCCCCCCCCCCCCCAAAATTTCATTATGTTCTCTATATAGACTTAGACTTGGTTAACAAAAAGAAGGGGGAGGAGATACCAGCAACATAGAAAAATTTAACAAAAAAATACACCAACAAAAACAATTTCAACCCAACTCCTTGCTTCTGCAACATACCTCATCTCCTACTCACAACCAGCAACTCATAATTTCATCACGCAAACACTAACCTTCAGTCATCACCACTTTCAGACAACCTCTGTGAGACACCACTACAACTTCACCATTTTCCTTCTCCTTCAGCCACCCAGATCCCAATCTTGAACCGACGGAACTGCGACACGCAAACTCATATGCGTCGATGTGCAAAGAAGAAAAATAATCGGAACTACTTCCTCTTTGAACACACCGGCAGCCGCAACTCAACACAAGCCACTGATCTATGATCATAACTGAGATGGCCAGAACCGACACAGTTGCGACAAGGCCGCACCAGCACCGGCTGCGATTCCACCCTCCGGCTCGCGAAATCTGCGAACAGCGTCATGGCAAACGACTCTCCAAATCGCGATTTCAACGACATACTGCCCTCCACCGTAAAACATACGTGCAAACTCCACGACGTACCAGACCAAGCCTCTGAACAACTCTGATCCGGATCTCGACTTAACCGATCTGCCTTTTTACCGCACCAATGGTCTCTGCCTCCAACCAACTTTTTCCGGCGTCATTCTCTGCCATCTCAGCCGTCAAGAGAAATCGAGAAGAAGAAGGGAGAAAGATGAAGTTTTTTTTTACAAAGAAAAGATCTGTGAAGAGGAGCAAGGTTTATCTCTCTCACTCTCTGTCAATTTGTATATTAGAGGATTTTTATTTCCTTTTTTCTTTCTTAATTACAATGCCACGTGTCAGCTATTAATTGGCTAATGGAAAAATTTGAAAAGTAAAAAATAAACTCTAGTAAGAAGGCATCAGCTCCGCCTGGGGTGTTACAATAATTTTTTTTACTATTATTATTTTTTATGGTAAATTAGGGTTAATCATTTAGTTTGGGCCTTGAGCCATAATTCCTATCTTTTTACTAATTCACACCAACATAAAAGCCACAAACCCCACTCTTTGGTTTTGTTAAATAAATAAATAAAAAGCTGTTGGACTTTAGTTTCAGTAGCCCATACGAATTTCTTACTATACCCCTTATACTCTGCTTGCACCCTTTTGTTAAAAATTTATTTTTTAGTTTAATTTTAATTTCTTAACTATTTTGTTTTAGTTATTTAGTTTAGTCAGTAAAAATTATTTAGTAATTTCATTGTTTTAGTTAAGTAATTTAACCATGGAATCAATTTAGAATTATTTAATAATCTTAGAATTTTTAGTTAGTTTGGAATTATTTTGATAACCTTTGAATTTTTAGTTAGCTTAGATTTATTTTAGTAACTTTAGAAATTTAAGTTAGTTTAGATTTAATTTAACAACTTTAGAATTTTAATTTTATAACTTAGTGATTTTATAATTAACTTAGTTTATATTTAAATTAGTTTAGATATAATTTAGTAATTTTAGAGCTTTAATAACTTTAGAATTTTTATTTGATTTAGATTTTAACTTGATAACTTTAGAATTTTTTTAATTTAATTTAGTAACTTTAGAATTTTATTTGGTTTAGGTTTAATTTGATTTAGGTTTTAATTTAATAATTTTAGAGTTTTCATTTATATTTAATTTAATGCCTTTATAATTTCGATTTAATTTAAATGTAATTTACTAATTTTAAAATTTTAATTTAGTTTAGATCTAATTTAGTAATTTTAGAATTATTTTTTATAGCCTTAGAATTTGTAGTTAGTTTAGAATTATTTTAACAAGTAATCTTAATTTTTTCAATTTAGTTCAAATAACTTTTTTAGATGATTAGTTACATTTATTTGTTTTATTTCCTTGTGGATTTTCGAATATTTGTAATTTGATGTTTATCTTATTTCGCTTGTTTGCTCAAATCCAAGGGAAATGTTTTTAACTTTGTTGACTTCATGTCATCAAATATATTTGTTACAATCGTGCGAATACCCTCATCCATTTTTTGCTTATTTACTATTTTTCCAAACTTAAGATAATTCTCCCAAAAGACTCCATTTTTAAACTCACACCTTTTAAGTCAAAACTTCGACATTAGGTCGTCGTATCTTCAAAATCTCGCCAACACCCATCTTTTAGCCAAACAAACCATTTTAATCAAACAAACAATTTTAACGAAAAACAGATATTTCAAAAGGTTCTTGCGGAGTACCGCAGATGCAGTGGGTGCTAATACCTTCCCATTGTATAACCAACCCCCGAACTCTCGATCTCTTTCAAAAACGCATTGTATTTTTATTACTTCTAAGTCTTATTTTACATTGCATATTTTAGGGTTTTATTTCGCTCTTTTCCCTTTTCCCTTGGAAATAATAAAGCGCGGTGACGACTCTTGCTTTTTGTGAGTCAAGTTAATTAATAGCTTGATCTCCGATTTTCACCACTACAGTACCAAACGAATATAAATCCACAATAAAGCAAGTAAACAGTAATAAAACCCATAGATCTTCGAACAAGCTAGCATCAACAAAGAAACGAGTCAGAAGTCGTGTCGTCAGACATAAATATCAAGGCCTTGATGTGGAAATAGATCACAAGCAGTGTATCAGACACAACCATATAAACATCATATAAGGCAATGCAAATAGACCAAGGCACACAATATTGCAAATATATGTATCCCATAGATATGAGAAACAAGACAGATCTCCTCTAAAGCGAAGTTGTATCCCACAAATAAAGTGGAACACAAAGCAAAGAAAGCTCATGAAATTCCTTGCACATCTTAACAAAATAGTTAGTATTAACAAGGTAATGTGAAGAAGATAAATGTGAATATAGACATGTCATACATTTACCATATATGTCATGGCTAAGAATTAACTCAATTAGTCATTTAGAACATGGTACACACTTCATAACAATCAAACTAGTATTCAACAAAGTGGTGTAGTGAAATGCACACAAGTGTGATTTAATCATACATGCATTAGTTGTGTCATGAAGGTTGAGGTCAGAATCAACACTATATACAATGATCCAAATTCAAAACAAGAAGTAATCATTAAGAAGACATACACAAGGTTAGTACAAAAACTAGTTAAGGCCTTGACCTAAACGGGTATTGAAAAGTAAAATAGAGCAAAGTTAAGACATAGAAGTAAGTAGATACGAAATAAATAACTCAATTATATCACATACAACCTAATTAATTCAGTAGTGTCAAGTGCTCAAAAGCTTGGCTCCCAAATATGCACAAAAGCACCCATATAAAAGTCAAATTGTTAAGGTAAAGCTCAAAGACTAAGTTCACAAAGTTAAATTAAGAAAAAATAGAAAGAAGCTTATAAAAATCAAATGAAACTTTTTTCAAAGTGCTCGAGACTTATAACAGTCATAATCAATTAATTTAGATCCTTGAATGTTTAGGGAAAATGTGAAACAAAATTCATCTTTCACAACTAGTTGAGATAAAACTCCAACTAGAAACCTTTAACCAAATACTTTGGGAAAAGTGGAGCTTCAAAGGATAAATTCAAACAAAATAATTTCCAGAGGCCTAACATGTTAAAGAATCCCAATCAAAAGTTATTTGACCTTTACAAGTTTTGAGAATTAGCAAATTAAATCAAACTTATGGTATAAGAAACAAAATTATCAAAATGATTTACAAACTTTACGAATTATGAAATCAGAGAGTTAAGCATGATAAAATCACAAAAAATCCTACAATCAAGATTAAATCATAAGGATATTAGAAAGTATTTTTTGGCATTTTTTATGTTCAAGGAAAATATCAAATAAAATAAAAATGTGAAAATTATGATTAAAATAAGCAATATATTTACACGAATTTTTATATGAACCAATAATGCAAAAATCATGGAATAAATTATAGAATATGAAAATATACTATTAATATAGTGTAATATATTCTTTTTGGAATTTTTGAACAGTGGAAACTATTTTTAAAAAATTGACCAAAACAAAATAAAACGAAAAGAAATAGGATCTATTACACCTACTCTTCAAAGCAATCGCTGTAAAATGCACAGTCAACCAAAAGTCAACTTCGTATCCTTCAATAAAAACCCTAACTAATCAGTTCTCCAAGCTAACTTCAGATCCTTCATACGCACTCAATTCTCAACCAAAATTAGTTAAACAAAGCTCAAATCAAAGCTTAAGTAACGATCTACATCAAGCAACTCATGGAATCTCAAATGACCAAATATGGAGAGAGAAATCAAGGCACGAAAAACACAAAAATCATCTTAGTTCATATTTCTAGAGATCCATAAAACACGATGCAATTTGTAATCAAGTAATTTTATGCTTTAAACTCATAATATCAACATACATCAACGTGATTGCAAGCTTAGAATCAACAAAAACAAGGTATAAGCGAGAGAAATCAGATCTGAGCATTACCTCAAGAATTGGAAAATAAATCTAATTATGCCTTTGTCCACGAGCGAAACCCTTAGGATCTTGCTTATCTTGCTTCAATCAAGTAATCATGAAGGAAAAAGAGCTTTTGGATCTGGAAAAATAGAGAGAACTCAAACTGATTTTTTTTAGAGAGAGAGAATATACAATTTCTGGTTTTCAGTGAGAATGAAGCGTGTGTTGAATGAGTGTGATGCTGAAGCTTTATAGAGAGAGCATGTGTGGGTAGAATGTACTTTGCTTGCTCAGAAAGACGTTGGGGAGGATTTCAATAAAAAAAATCAGAAACAATCATGTGAAGGTGTTGTGCATTTCATTTGTACTTCCCTCTTGATTTCTTGCGTTTTAATGAACTCATACTGACTGGAATTGAGTCAAGGACGTGCAGGTTCTGAGCTGTCTCATAAGAGCACATGGGGTGAAAAATTTCTTGAATGAAAAAATTTACCAATTTTGATAACAATGTTCTTTTATCATGCATGGTGTGTGTGCATAGCATATTTATCTGGTCTGTCCATATTTGGTAAAAAGAATTCGTGTTGTTTGAAGGAAAACAAAAGCTTGTAGCATTACTGTAACACCCTAATTCTACCCCAAGAAATTAGCAGAAAATCAGAGTATAAAAATTTCCAATATAATCAGGATGTCACATATTCAACAAGGACACATAAACCTGCCATGCTTTTAGAATAGATACATAACACTTAAGGAAGCGGAATGAACACAACTCATGAACAAAGTCTTCATAACATAAACCAAACTTTGATTAATCACGCAGCAGATTCATAATAGTTCTCTAAATAAGATATAACATCTTTTGAATCATAAAATAACATCAATACAATAAACTCCTCAAACAACAACATAAGGTTCAATAAATAACAAACAAAATAAAACAAGCGTTCATTTCCCCCCGATTTCTACGTATCAGATAAAATGACACCGAACTCAAACTAACAATGCTATCAGCTACTCCTCTTGGTTACCTGCACGTTACCAACAAAGGGCAACATTCAAACAGAAGAGATGAGATTCTTAAATTGTATAAGTGAGCGTATGATAAATCATATATTAGAATCAGTTCATGCAAAAATCACAACTTCACAACAACAATCACAGAAGGATATCATCAACATGCAACAACTAATTCATCAACACAACATCTCAATTGTACAACTTGGAATGTGACTCAATGTTATGCAAATGCATGTGGT